CAGAAGAGACTCATAAATATGGAGAACAAACTGAGGGTTGCTGGAGGGGTTGTGGGAGGGGGAAAGGGCTAAATGGGTAAGGGGCATTAATGAATCTACTCCTGAAATCTTTGCTTCACTATAAACTAATTTGGATGTAAATTTTAAAAAATAAAAAATAAAGTTAAATTATAAAAAACAAAAACAAAAAACTTCATCTTCCACATCTGAACTTCCCCTTCTTTGATCTGCCCTCAACCTGTCCTTCAGCACCTTCTCTCCTGACCTGCCCCGAGGAGTGCTGTGTGGTCACTTGCATCCGTTCCCTCTTCTCTCTCTGTGTCCCAGGCCTCTGACCTCCTTCTGAACATTGTGGGGCTGGCATGGAAGCCACTCTGCTGCCCAGTTCCAAGCCTGGGTGGCCTCCCTGACCACTTGCACCCCTCCTGGACTGCCAGAATTCATGAGAGTAAGGCCCACACAAGGCTGACTGGTCAGCTGGTCCTGGCCTCAGCTGCCACTCCAACCTTTTACCCTCATTTCTCAGATCCTTGTGGAAACAGTCTGAACTTCTACCTTTTCTCAGTCTCAATATCCTCTTTAGTTGATGGCATCACCAACCGCTTTCAGACAAGATTGGGGTCACCTGATCTGGGCTTCCTTATCTTCTCTTCTCTGTGGCACTACTGGTCAGAAAATTTCCCCTTTCTTCCTCTGCTTAGATGTGAAAGACTATAAATGCCACCACTTGTGCTATGAATCCCACGGCCTCCAGCACCTGTGTTCCTCCCACTATCCCCCTCTCTTCCTTTCATCAGCTCGCCCTTAAACATGTGCTTTTCCATGGCCGGCAAACACTCAGGTCTCAAGCATCCCAAACAACTCTCCTCCACCCCCTCCCCCCTCCGCTCACAGCCTCCTAACATGCCACAGATGTTCAGAGCCTCTGCCCTCTCACCTCCAAGCTGGCTCATGTCTCCACCCTTCTCCATGGTTTCCCTCTAAAATCTCAGCTCGTCTTCTAACCTTGAGACCAACAGCCTTTCCTCAATCTTAGCATATTGTGCAGGTATAGACAGCATTAAATGTCCCTCCTGCAAGACCTTGCCACAGCCCTGCATGTGTGAGGCTGTGTCGCCCTAGCTCTCCCTTCCTGCCTCGACTGCTGCTGTATCCATCACCACTGTTCTCCAGTCCCAGGCTGTCTGGTACTTTCCTTTCTTGCTACCCACATGGTGCTATGCAAAGCTTCCTATCCTGGCAAGAGAGAGGAAAATCAGTTTGGGGTCAAGGGTATTGCTCTTATTTTTACCTACGCCCCAGGCATTGACTCCATTTCCCATCATGTGGATATTTCATGGGCACTTTAAACTTGATTTATATAAAATCAAATGGATAGGGGTACCTGGGTGGCTAAGCTGGTTAAGCATCTGACTCTTGATTTCAGCTCAGGTCATGATCTCATGGTTTGTGAGATGGAACCTCAAGTCAGGCTCTGTGCTAACAGCATGGAGCCTGCTTGGGATTCTCTCTCTTCCTTGCTCTTGCGTGCATGGGCTCTCTCTCTCTCTCAAAATAAGTAAGTAAACAATTAAAAAAACCCCAAATGGATAGTTGTTGTCCTCTAAAACCAATTCCTTCTGTCCTTCATTTATCTTTTATTGGGTGTACCATTCTCCTAAGTCCTTAGAATCAAACGCTAGCATTGACTTTGAATGAACCCGTTTCTGTTGATTTGTGCAAGTCTGCAGACTGTAGCTGGACCACCTGTCTTGAATTCACACTCACTTTTCCAGGTCCATCTTCAACATACTGCATTAGCCCTTGCCTTCTCTTAAGCCGTGCCTGCAATGGCTTCTTAGTTGGGCCTCTTTCTCCTTCTCTGCTTTTCTCATACATTTACTGAGTGGCAGTACCAGTGGTCCAAAGACTGTACCCCAGCCTTTTAAAGGTGCATACTAGGGGGAAGCATGCCTATGAACAGAGAAGGCTATGTTAGTCAGCTGAACGGCTGGGCTCAGAAAGGGTAAAGAGTAGGTGAGTTCAGTTCTCTCCCAGGTGCAGGCCAGAAAGGCTACAGAGAGGGAGCAAGGCTTGACCTAGGTCTGGAGAAAGGAAGATGTGTCTGGTGAGAAGAAGCAGGAGTCCACATGGAGCAAAGGAAAAGCAGAGATGTAGAGGTGTGGCACCACATGATCAGGGCATGTCAGGGAGCTCTGCAGGCTGGTACCCAGGTTGCTGGAGGCAAAGGGACACGTGGTGGCAGGTCATGGCCATGAAGGGTGGGCACCATCCTCCTGATAGGTTTAGATGGCCTATGTGGGCAGGGAATTGCTGGTTTATTAAAGGATGGGAGCAGGACAATGACACTTATTTGAGAACAGTCACTGGGGACCCGGTGTAGAGAGTGGACAAACTCCTGCTCTGAGCAGAGAGGTCAGCTGAGATGCCACAGACAAAGTCCAGATGAGAAACAACAGGGGCCAGAGCTCAGAGGAGAGGAATGGCTGGAGGGAAAGGGAGAGGAGAGAAATGCCAAAGAGGCAGCCCAGAGAGACCTGACAAGTGACCTTCTGACAAGGTCAAAAAACCTGACATTTGAAAACGAGGAGGAAGGGGAGGAAGGAGTTGAGAGCTGGCGCTGAGACTTCTGATTTTGGTGCCTGGAGAAATGGGAGTACAGAGCTTAAGAAAGGAAAAGGAAGTATGGGAAAAAACAATAACGTCTATTCTGCACACGTTAATGATGAATTTGAGATGCACATGGGACATACTCAAATGAAATCATAAGGCATTTGGGATGTTCTCTAGACCACTGCTATCCAAGAGAATTTTCTGTGATGAGGGAGATGTTCTAGAGATTTGTTATCCAATATGGTAGCTACTAGCCATGTAGCTATTGAGCACTTAAAATCTGGCTAGTACACCCGAAGAACTGAATTTTACTTCATTTTAGTGAATTTGCATCTTGGTAGCCACATGGGACTAGAGGCTATTGTAGCGGACAGTGCAGGCCTAGCAAGACACTGGGCCATAGGCGCAGATTCAGAGGTCACCACTGTATATGTGTTAGAGACTCCCTTGTACCAGGAAGTACTGAAAGTTTACAAAACAAGATGAAATCAGCTTCAGAAACAGATGGTAAATGAGGCAAAGGGAAAACGAGGGTAGAAGGGAGATGAGGACACAGTTGGTTTAGCACACCAGATGCTCAACATGAAACTGCTGTGTGAAATGTGAGCCGAGGAAAATGGCTGATCAAGAGGGAGGACCGTTACTCAGGGAGGGCTTGTCAGGTGAAGCTGGCCAAGGAGCGAGGGCTGGGAGCCCAGGCAACAAGTGAGGGTATAAGGGGCAGACAGAGGAGATGGAGAAGGAGAGGCCAAACAAGCAAGGGCAATCTTGACAAGGTCAAAGTCAACATAGAAATGGATTAGGAGTCTGGCAATTAGGAGGAATGATGAGCATGAGGTCTGAACATGAGTTGAGGAAATACAGACGGGAAGTACAATCAGTTCTTTCAGGAGCTGGACTGTACAGGAAATGTGAGAGAGAGAGGATGATCGCTGGTAAGTAAAGAGCTTCATCTTCCTAAGCATACAGCCACAAAGACGTTACTTCCTGCTCAGAACCTGCAATCACCAAGGCCTGTCATTTGAGGTCCTGAGATTCATCTTTACCTCCTGTGACCTCTCTTCACACATTTTATGGCCCACTCAAACCAGCCCAAAGACACCACTCAACAGAAAGATCTGTCACTGTTGACCAAAAGGCTGGAGGTGGGAAAATCATCAGAAGTACAGAATCTGAAGAAAAGACAAGTTAAGACCGAGACCCCACCCTTAAAAAAAATCAGCAAACCTGTATTTAAAGATCACAAAAGATTTGCCAAGGTCACTTAAGGATGAAGGCTATTCTATTATTTATCACTCTGAATTGAGTACCAGTCTTGAAGTGGTGCAGCATGGCTTGCTTCCTGTAAAGTTAATTCTCTAAATCACACTGGACTGTACTCTGTGATTATCCTGAAAGCTTCCTTATCAATTTAATGATAAAATCTACCTTGTCTTCCAACATGTATTTTTCTCTGAACACAAAGATCAGAAAACGCAGAACCGTCTGTACTCTGACCAAGTGCCCTGGTACTAACAATGCAGTGGTTCTCACACTTTGGTGAGCTACTGAAACAGGATGGGGCCTAGGACTGTGTGTTTCCATTGCCTTCCCTGTACAGTTTTGATACCCCCCCAAAATTTAGGAACCACTGCCATGATGTCTTCTGTCATACTCCAGGATTGGAGTCCCTGTACTTTGTTGCTTGTGGATAATGATGTCAGCTTCCACCCCATCTAGCGGCCTCTGCTCCAACCCTCCTCCTTCTCACCTGGGGATGCAAGTTAGGACAGTTTAAGGAAAAAAACATGATTTGGAAAGCAGAATCAAGATCTCTCCATCTGGAACCTTCTGTCTTGAAGGAGAACCTCATTTCATGAACTAAGTCCAAACTCCCTTGATAGTTCTATGAGGTCTGGCTGGTTCTAGAGTCCAAGAGGAGAATGGGAAGCCATTGGTAACATATAGATCCGGGAGCTAGGCAGGAGTTTCCAGGTAGTCTTAAAAGAGCAAAGTTCCATCAGTGTTAATTACATCTAGTAGAAGAAGCAGTCTCCTGAATACCTGCCACGCAGACCTATTTTCTGTTAATCTTTTGTCAATACCCAAACTCTAGAAACAAAGGTAAGTTGCTCTTTCTACCACAGCCTTTTTTTTTTTATTTGAGAGAGAGGAAGAGAGCCTGAGAGAGTGTGTGTGCGTGAGCAGGGGAGAGGGACAGAAGGAGAGGGAGAATCCCAAGCAGGCTCCATGCTCAGCGTTGACACAGGGCTCGAGCCCATGACTCTGGGATCACCGACCTGAGGTGAAATCAAGAGTCAGATGCTCAACCAACTGAGCCACCTAGGTGCTCTTCTACCCACAGCCTTTTACAGAAGATAGCAATGAAACTCTGAACAGCCCCATACCTGTCCTGTTCTTCCTTCTCCAGCCGTTCCTGCTCCTCCTGCTCTTTCTGTAGCCGGGCTTGTCGTCTCTTTTCAGCCAGGATCTTTGCAGCCTCTCCTGCATCAGTGGTGCCTGCCGTGGGCTTCCCTGAGGCTGCATCGGAGGAAAAGATCATGGGAAATGAAACCGTGATTGCACTCACATGAGTAAGCTGCCACTTGGAAACAAAAAATCCAACCCAATGGGTCATGGGAAATGCTGCCAGGACGAGCACAATCAGCCACTGACAAGTTGCAATGGGCCGGCTATGACCCTGAATGCATCTCCCAGTGGAGGGTAGTGGAAAGGTGAGGAGGAGAGACATGGTGGCTGGCACAACCCACAGGAGCCACCACAGCAGTGCCACTCTGGGTGAACTCACTGCATCTAGCACAGAAGCTTGAAGGACTGAAGGAAGACTTTCTCTGTGGGAAGTGCAGATGCTAGCTGGATGCAGCTCAACACCCCCATGAGCTTCCAAAGCCATGACCAGTGTCAGTCCCTCCTCCAGGGGACCCATAGGAGACCGAGGGGAAGGACTCAAGGGCAACGTGCAAGTCAGAGGAAAGAGCATGAGGTCATGAAGTTGTCCCAGGGAAACATCTCCTTCCCTCCCTCCTTCTCTCAAACATGAGACTCCCATGTGGATCCGGGCAGAGAGAGAACTAGCTTGGAAAAGCCAAGCTGCGGGCAGCATCAACAAGAAGGACCTACTTCCACTGCCCTCGGTCTTCCCTCCTGTGGCCAAATGCTTCTCCGTGACATGCTTGTCCACCACGTGCTTCTCTGGGGCTTCCTCCCCATGCAGGCCAGCTGCCTGCTGGGCCAGGGCACCCTCCCTTTCTTTATTGCTCTTCTCTTTCTCTGCTTTCCTCTTGGGTGTTTCCTGGCTGGGAAAGGTGGGAGAGCGGTACTTCACAGGAGACCCTGGGTATGGTGGCTTCACATTCTTTGGAGACTGTGGATATGCTTTTGAAGTTGTCCTGGAAAACCAAAAACATGCCCAGACGATGACTACTGGGCCTGACCAGAGAACCCTCCCTCTGTTCATAAGATACTTGGTTCCAAAAAGCTGAACAATTTCATCCTTCAAGAAGAACAAATGGAAGGCTTAGCACACACTCAAAAGTCCTCAAAGTACCAACACACTGTAACAGGAACATATGGAATCTACAAGGTATCCCTGGTGGAAGGGACACGATTTTAGGAAGCCCAGCTGGTAATGCCATGTCGTGACCTCATTTAAGTCTGACTGACAATGTAAGGATAAAATGTGAGGCATTGTCATACCACTTTTCAGTTGAATACTAGGGTTGGATCTGGCTTCAGTATATGGCAATGGATGAGCTGGCTCTTTTTTTTTTAATTGTGGCAAAAAACATGTAACAAAATTTACCATCTTAGCCATTTTTAAGTGTACAGCTCAGTGTCATTAAATACACTCACAAAGTGATACAACTATCACCACCAGCCATCCCCAAAACCACATACCCATTAAACACTAACTCCCTATGCCTGCGTCCCTCAGCCTCTAGTAACCACCCTTCTGTTTTCTGTCCATAGGAATCTTACTATTCCAGATACATCACAGAAGTGGGATCATATAGTATATGTATCCTTTTGTGTTTGGCTTATTTCACTCAACATAATGTCTTCAAAGTCCCCAGGTTCTTTTTATAAAAAAAGTTCACCCATCGCTTCTCAGCCTTTTGGCTAAGATCAAGTGTATAAAAAAAAATTCACCTTTACTGAAATATGATTGATATCCAGTTCCTTTTTAAATGCTGGGGAACAAACTCAGACAAAAGGCGGGGAGAGAAGGTGTCTTTCTTTTGAGGTTATCAAGGTTTAAAAGAATCTCTCCTGTTATTGGAAAGATGTGAAAGCTGAGGACAAGCCTATTGTCACTCAGGGAAATAACACTTTGTTAAAATGCAGGAGCCTATGGGGGAGCCTGGGTGGCTCAGTCGGTTAAGTGTCCGACTTCAGCTCAGGTCATGATCTCGTGGTTCATGAGTACAAGCCCTGCACTGGGCTCTGTGCTCACAGCTCAGACCCTGGAGCCTGCTTCAGATTCTGTGTCTCCCTCTCTCTCTGCCCCTCCCCTCCTCTTGCTTTGGTCTCTCTCTCTCTCTCAAAAATAAATAAACATTAAAAAAACATTTTAAAAAATGCAGGAGCCTATCTTATGTCTGTTGAAGGAGCTTCAGAAGCTGGGTTTACCCAGATGTTTGCTCAAGGAGGTAGCATTTGCAGAGTTCCTTTATGAAGAACATACAGTAATCTGTATATAAATTATAAATTGTCATTCTTGATCCTGTAGCAGATTGAACCATATGAAACTGCCAATATTCAAGTGTTTTTGATCTATGAAAACAGCAAGAAAAACAGCCATTCAACATAATATTAAAGGCCCGTTTATTACCACAGGCTTAAAGAGTTACCTGATCAGATCCTGGTGGTAAGGGAAAACTATGATTAAATCAACACTGTACTTGGCCTTCAGCTGAAAAATCCTCAAGTGGTATGCGGATTAGGTAAGATACAGGCCAGTTTTCCAATGACGCTCTCATGCTAAAATGCCAACTCTGAGTGCCCAGGAAAACATCTTCTCTTAGTAAAAGCCAGACTGAAGGCCACACAATATTGTGATCACCTGACCTGATTAATACAACTTGAACCTGATTTGAAATTTTTTTAAATTTAAATTCAAGTTAGTTAACATACAGTGTAGTATTGGTTTCAGGAGTAGAACCCAGTGATTCATCACTTACATATTATACCCAGTGCTCATTCCAACAAGTGCCCTCCTTAATGCCCATCACCCATTTTACTAAAAAAATAAAAATAAAAATAAAAATAAAAATAAAAATGTCATGGTCATGGAGAAGAAAGGCTGAAGAGCTGTTCAAAGTTAAAGGAGACTAAGGAGACAAAACAACTAAATGCAGTGTGGGAGCCAGTGTTGGATCCCGGACTGGGGAAAAAGTGTTATAAGCGATCTCACTGGGACAACTAGCAAAAGTTGCATATAGACTGTAAATTAAGTAACAATAACATGTCAAAATTAAATTTTCTGATTTTTATAATTGTACTGTGGTTACACAAAGAACCTCTTCATTCCTGGGGGTAAAGGGTCATGATGTCTTCAACTTACTCTCAAATGTTCTGGGGGAAAAAATCAGTGTGTGTGTGTGTCTATAGAGAGTGAACGTGAGTGAGTTGGGGGATGGGAATGATAAAGCAAATATGGCTAAACATTAATAGGATGAAAGGCATACAGGAATTCTCTGTTCTAGTCTTGCAATTCTTCTGTAGGGCTGAGAGGATTTAAAAATAAAAAGGTGGGGCACCTGGGTGGCTCAGTCAGTTGAGCATCTGACTCTTGGTTTGGGTTCAGGTCATGATTTTACAGTTCATAAGTTTTGAGCCCTGCACCGGGCTCTGCACTGGCAGCACAGAGCCTGATTGGGATTCCCTCTCCCTCATTCTCTGCCCTTCTCCTGCTCTCTCTCTCTCAAAATTAAAAAAAAAAAAAAACACTTTTTAAATAAAAAATAAATAAGCTTTTAAAAACTGATCTAGGGGCGCCTGGGTGGCGCAGTCGGTTGAGCATCCGACTTCAGCCAGGTCACGATCTCGCGGTCCGTGAGTTCGAGCCCCGCGTCAGGCTCTGGGCTGATGGCTCAGAGCCTGGAGCCTGTTTCCGATTCTGTGTCTCCCTCTCTCTCTGCCCCTCCCCCGTTCATGCTCTGTCTCTCTCTGTCCCAAAAATAAGTAAATGTTGAAAAAAAAATTAAAAAAAATAAAAATAAAAACTGATCTAAACTCAAATTATCCTCTAGTAAAACTGAAAAAGTACAGGATTATAGACTGGATAAATGTATAAGTATGGCTATGAGGAAGGAGCATAAGTTAACATTTGTGATTATCCTTTTCAAGAAAATTTGCAGATAAGAATGTAAAAACTTATTTGAGAACAATGGTGGTGGCAAAAACAACTGGTAAACTGTCAAGGCAGGAGCCCCGATCCACAGTAGACACTCATCTGTAGGCAGGAGTAACCACGCCATATATGCAGATGTATACAATGATGCCCAGTAATGACTGGTTAAACATCTTCAACCATTGAAGGAATAGGCTGGCTCCAGGAATCTTCCATGAGCCCATGATTCTGAGTGGGAGGTACTTATTTGGGGCCATGCTGACAATCTGGTCTTAATTTTTCACTCATGTGGACACACAAAATCTACTTTGTTTCTCAAAATCCATGATAAAGTGAAGTTAACCTAGGTTCCTGATACAAAATTGATCTCAGGCATGAGATCTCAAAGTGATTATCTTTGGCAGACTGTATTTTCTCGAGACGGTCACAAAAATATCTCTCCCGACTCAACATGATCTTTGGAGTTTCTTCCCCCATCCCACTGATTCTAGGTTGGCCTGACTGCTGTGACCAATAAAACAGAGCAGAGAAGGAATGCTGTGCCAATTCAGGGCCCAGTACTTAAATGGCCTGACAGCTTTCACTTCCTGTCCTTGGGAGACACTCACTCTTGGGAACACTCCCTCCCTCTTGGAACTCAACTGCATGCTGTGAGATGCCTAAGTCATACGGAGAGGCTATGTGCAGGCACTCTTTTCTGGTTGTCAGCCCTCACTGAGCTCCAGCCAATAGCCAGCATCAACTGCCAGTCAGGTGAATGAGCTATCTCAGACCTCCAGCTCAGTCAAGCCCTAGGTAACTGCAGCCCCAGGTGACAATGAATCTATGATGGAAGACCACAGGTGAAAACCACCAGGTGAACCCAAGCCAACCTACAGAAAAAACACACAAAAGACCCCAAGAGAGACCCTCTGGTAAGCCAAAGTCACAGAGCTATGAGAATTAATAACAAATGGTTGTTTTATGCTACTAAATTTGGGGGGTTGGGTTGCTACATCAGCAATAGATAACTGAAACATTCCCCAGTGTAATGACCAAGGTGACTCAGAACATATTTGTAACAACCTGAAACCATTAGAGAACATTTCACACTGAAGAATTTGTGAGTACAGGCGGTGCCAACACTCAGAGGCAGGGACGGGCTGGGTGAACGCACTTGGCCACACTTGATTTCCTCTCTCTAGGTTACAAGAAGGAAGCTATGCTCCATCCACATCTTTGAGAGTGTTGCTGAAGCTAGTTTTCTAAAACCCATACAAGTACCCAACAATGCAAACAATGGAAATAAACCTGAGCGCTTAAAAGAGCAATGCCATTAATATGCACAGCCATGGAACAGTGGCTTAATTTATCTGAGATCCTGGAGTAGAACAATGTCCTGTCAGAGGCATTTATCACATGACCTGTCTGAGTTTCTGGTTGGGGGTTCAAAGGAACTAACTAAGCCACCATTCAAAGCCACATTGCTTCCAGTATTCTTTAAAGATCACACACACTTGGTCTGCACAGAGAGAAGGAAGGTTGAAAATGCCACTCTGACTGGAATTTATTTTGTGTGTGACATCATTTTAAGAATCAAGCATTCTTTTTCAATATCGAGCGTACAAAAAATATTTATAAAATCTGAAGGTATGAAGAATGAGATAACAAATACCCATACACCTAACAACTAGTTCCAAAGAAAGACACTATAAATATGCTAGAATTTCCCATGTGCCCTTTCTTGACCTCCTCCCTCACACCCCACTCAGAGGCCATCATTACTTTGCATTTTATATCTGCCATTTTCTTTTTCTAAAAATCATTTTAGCACATTTATATTCATGAAAACAAGCTGGCTAGTTTTGCACATGTGGGACCTCAATATAAATGTCATACTGCTGACATTCTTCTACAATTCCTTTTGCTGCTCAACACTATGTTCCTGAGATCTATCCATTGGTTGTGGGCAACTAGGATCCATTCTTTTCCACTGTTGTGGAGTCTGGCTGGATTTTCAAGAACTTATTTACAGTCTACCTGACTTCCCACATTTCTCAGACCTAGTCCATACCCAGTGTGGTTCAGCCATTAATTTTCACCTGGGGAGAAATTATCTCTTTGAGTGTCTTAAAAACCAAGAAATTTTTGCTTCTCCTTAGACCTCTCAACTTGGTAATTCTGATTTAGAGGTACTGGAGCAAACTCCTGTCCCTAGGGAACTTCCTTTTTTTTTTAAATTAACTTGTTTTATTTCTTATTTTTTTAAATTGACATCCAAGTTAGTTAGCATATAGTGCAACAATGATTTCAGGAGTAGATTCCTTAGAGCCCCTTACCCATTTATCCCATCCCCCCTCCCATAACCCCTCTAGCAACCCTCAGTTTGCTATGGAGACATATTTATGAGTCTCTTCTGTTGTGTCCCCCTCCCTGTTTTTATATTATTTTTGTTTCCCTTCCCTTATGTTCATCT